TGCCTCCCAAGGGCTGGGATTAAAGTCATACACCATCACTGCCCAGCTTTTTCTATTCTTAAAGTGCCAATAATTACAACATTGTAGAAAAAAGATAAAGAATATGAAGAGAGAAGATAAAATGACCATTGTCTAGTGCATGCAGCTGTGTCTCTATCAGAAGTACACCTATAGGAAGCTAAATCCATCATTTGTGCTCCCTGTGGGATGTCCTATGCTACTTTGATTTTATTACACCATCACTGCTGTCCACAAAGAAAGATATACAGACTAAATTTTGAATATTGAACTTTTGAGAATTGATAGTATCCACTGTTCTTAGTAAAGGACAGGACACATAGGAACATGGAGCAGGGCTTCTGCATGACTAACTAGGCACAGCTGCTCACAGTGAAGGCGTCTGTCTGAACTCCAATGCCCTCCGGCCCAAAGTGTTGTCATAGATGCTGCTGTATCTCAAGTGCCTTCCTCTCAGCATCAGCTGCCCCAAGTTATGATGGGAATGAAGTGTTTTATACTAAAAGGTTAAAGGGGAAAAATCATTATTTCTAAGCTCGATCTTCAGCATTTTTTTTTTTTTTTCGAGACAGGGTTTCTCCGCATAGCTTTGTGCCTTTCCTGGAGCTAACTTGGTAGCCCAGGCTGGCCTTGAACTCACAGAGATCTGCCTGGCTCTGCCTCCCGAGTGCTGGGATTAAAGGCGTGCGCCACCACCCCCTGGCTAATCTTCAGCATTTTTAAGAAGAATCAAGTTGCTAGTTAGGTGAGTTGGTCTTGCTGCTTAATGAAGAAAACAAGATAAGACAGTGTTGAATTTCCTTAAATAGTCAAGTGCTGCAAAGACTGCAAAGGAAGTGGTACCAAAACATCTTACCAAATCTGTTGTCATGATGTGTTACCCTAACTAAGTATGGCATCTGTTGTAGAATATTATTTTAAGGTGTGATACTTCTGTTTATGTTGCATTTGCTGTGTTACTTTGCCTGTCTAAAACACCTGGTGGTCTAATAAAGAACTGAACAGCCAATAACAAGGCAGGAGAAAGGATAGGCAGGGCTGCCAGGCAGAGAGGATAAAGAGAAGGAGAAATCTTGGAGGAGAGATCAAGGAGCAAGAGAAGGTAGAAGAAGTAGCAGGAGTCCAGGGGCCAGCCACCCAGCCACCCAGCCACCCAGCCACCCAGCAAGCCATGGAGTAAGAGTAAGATTTACAGAAGTAAGAGAACAGAAAAATCCCAGAGGTCAAAGGTAGATGGGATAAGTTAAGTTAAGGAAAGTTAACTAGACACAAGCCAAGCTAAGGCCAAGCATTCATAATTAAAATAAGCCTCCATGTGTGATTTATTTGGGAACTGAGTGGCAGCCCCCCAAATGAGCAAAAACAACCAACAGTATGCCATCAGAACACAAATTGGATCCAAACAAAACTAGAGTCCTAGTTCCCATCTATGCTTTCCTTTTTTTTTTTTTTTTTTCTAGGAACGATTTCTCCTCACGATCTATCATAATGAGTTAGCATCAGCTAATTTAAAAACTGGTGCCAATCCACGGAAAGCACTCAGGCTGCTGCGCTTTTCACTAAATTCTGTTCATTAAGTAATGTCGATAGAAGCTGTTCAGTCACAGCAGCGTCCATGGCAGTTGATTATAATAAAATAATAAAGGGAATGTGAGCATGGGGTGCTGAGCAAGGGAGCAGAGCCGCCCTCCAGCTTCTCATCCCAATCATTTGTTCTGAGCCTTGGGAGAGCAAAGGAGATTTCTCGTTATGAAGAGGGGCCTACCACACTGGTGGGGAAAGCGCTGAGTTCTTTCACCTGTGCAGCAGTCTTACCGTATTCTCCTAGCTTCCTTCTGTTGGCATTAGAGTACTGCTTCTCAGCCATGATCAGGAGCTCGACTTCCCCAACGAAGCCTCATAATCCTAGTCTTTATTCCCATTAAAGGTATCTGAACAACTCAATTTGGGGGTTTTAAGTTAATTTTCAAAGGTAGAGAGGCAGTTGTTAGAAAGATGGGGAAGTCCTGAATGTTGATATCAGAAGATTCCTAAAGCAAATCAGAGGAATACAAATATGTGCACTTGGAAAATTTATGTAACAAAGCTGGGTGGTAGTTGCTTACACCTTTAATCCCAGCCTTCTGGAGGCAGAGGCAGGCATATCTCCATAGGTTCGAAGCTAACCTGATCTACAAAGAGAGTTTAGGACAGCCAGGGATACATAGAGAAACCCTGACTCTGTCTGTATATACGTATACGTACACACACACACACACACACACACACACACACACACACACACACACACACACACAGAGCAGGCTTTTTCTATTTGACCACCAATCAGCTCCTAAATCATGACACAGAGACTTATTAGTTTTGAATGCTCAGCCTAGCTTAGGCTCATTTCTGGCTAGCTCTTTTAACTTAAAATAACTTGTTTCTCTTTATCTACCCTTTGCCTTGGGGCTCATTACATTTCTTACTCCTGTATATCTTATTTTCACTGCTTCTCATGTCTAGCTGGCTGGTGGCTGCCTCCTTCTGGAGTAACTCTCTCCTCCTCCTCTCTTTCCTCCTTTTTCAAGCCTAGATTCCTCCTCCTATTCTCTCTCCCTACCAACCTTGCCTATCCCTCTTCTTCCTAGCTTTTGGCTGTTCAGCACTTTATTAGACCAATCAAGTGCTTTAGGTAGGAGGGTGAAACAGATGCAACACATCTTTACATAATTAAACAAATGCAGCATAAACAAAAGTAACACATCTTTACATTGTAAACAAAGGCAGCAGAAACAAGTTTAACACACCTTCACATAGTTAAAGTAATATTCTGCAGCATAAACAAATGTAATACATCTTTGCCTAGTTAAAATAATATTCTACAACGTGTGTGTGTATGTTTGTGTATCAGAAGATATAATTAAGTACTGAGTGGTGCAAGTGAGTGAGTGCTATGCTAGATAGATTATAATTTAGGTGAACAAGGCTCTAGGCTTGGCTTTAACACTAACTAGGTTAGTTATGATTTCATGTATTTATTGTGAGAGCAAACAATAAAATTACTCACGGGGCACTATCCACACTTTGTGAGGACAGTATTGTGTTGCTTTACCTCTTTGGTTGTCTTATCCTGTATTCTCCTAGATTCATTCCTAGTTTGTTTCCATGCCTTGTTGCTAAAAAACCTGAAATGCTAATGAAAACTCTCTCCCCAAATATACCCTATAACAGTGCTTTGCTGCTCTCTCATTGATTCACTTTATCATGGGAGGCTTTGGGAGGAGAGTATTATTGCTTCTCAGCCATGATCAGTAGCTGGGCTTTAGCAAACAGGTTCTGAATCCCATTCTTAAGTTCATGACTCTGAGTTAGAGTGGATCAGCTGGGCGTTTTGTGTACTGTCAGTTGGACATCAGTCAGAGTCATCTGTAGTCACCTTCAGATCAGCTGGGTTGCACTGCTTCTGGGCACTTTCTGGCTGCCTACTGGAGCACCCTGGGCCATGTGTCTCTTGTTAGCAGGTTGTGTGGGTCTGGTTCACATGGTAATGACAGTTCCATGTGAAAAAGTAGAAATCTGCAAAAACCTGTGACAGAGGTTTTCATGTGGAATCAGGTCAAAGGGCTAGCCTAGCTGCAGGAGGTAGATCCCAGTGCAACAGCAAAGTGGGAGCCAGGATAACTGAGGTCACTGGCCAATCTAGTACACCCCAAGTTTCTTTCCACACATTGTTGCTGAGAAACCGAAATGTCAGTGAAAATGTGCTTCAAAAAATACCCCCAAACAGCACTGTGCTGCCTTATCATTGACTCACTTTTAATTCGGAGAGGCTTTTGGAGTCAAAGTCAGTTCCTTTAAAGAATACAGAACAGAAACTGCCTGTGATTCTGCAGTGCAACACTGCATCCTAAGAGGATTGCCTTCTGTCTCTGTAGCCATCGTAGTGCACAATCTCAGAGTCATTGCCGTCCATTATCACCTACCTGTTCTCCTAGAGTTCCAGGGTAGCACCTGCCGAGGTATGACTTACACCGGTGTTACTTTATTCCCTTTATAGTACTTCTTCCTGCTGTTTCTAGTTTAACACTTACTATAATGTTTGAATCTGCCTCTCTGATATGTGTGTTGGATCTCTCCCAGTTGTATTTTACTTTTTTTTTTTTTTTTTCTCAAGACAGGGTTTCTCTGTGCCTGTCCTGGATCTTGCTCTGTAGATCAGGTTGGCCTCAAACTCACAGAGATCTGCCTGGCTCTGCCTCCCGAGTGCTGGGATTAAAGGTGTGCACCACCACCACCTGGCTGTATTTTACTTTTATGCAGCACAGCCTCTTGGTAAGGTAAACCAGTCACAGTGTAGTGCCATTGCAGATTCTAATGTGAACTGCTAAAGGTGATTCTTGCCAATTCTATCCAAGTTCTGACTCAGCCCAGCCTTCTTCAGGTTTGTGAAATCTACTAAGATTGTAGCACAAAGTGGTATAGCTGGGGGCAGAAAGTTCTGCTCGCCAAATATATTTTCCTTTATGGCAAGTGCATAAATTAACATACCAGGAAACTATAGCTGCATTCATGTGATACGGCACATTGCTCTCTTCAGCTAACTGTTTTTTTTTTTCTTCTATTGTTCATTTCTCAGAGACTGTGCCAAGCTCTTGGTCAGTTATACCTGTAATACATCCCACTCTCTCAGTATAAAATGATAATTAATAATAATAATAATAATAGGTCTTTGCAGTTGATATAGTGTTCTGCTTCCTTTAACAGCACTCACTGTTTTAGGTGTTTAAATATGGTTGTAAAAAATGACTTTGGGGTGGGACCTGGCTTGAGAACATGAGAGAAAATGGCTTGTTCCTAATTTTTTAAAGGAATTTTGTGTTACTTGTCAGTTATATAGTCATTGAATCAAATGCTTCTGATATTGGCATGCTATTTTGGTTCCTTAAGAAGCAACCCATTTTTACATTGCATTTTCATGGGTGTTCATTTTCTTATTGTAGGTCTGCTAGAAGAGACTCAAAGAAAAGAAGAAGAGGTGGAAACTCTACAGGTAAAGTCACTTCCCAATAGGGCAAGTGTCATTGTGATACAAATATTTGCTTTTCTGATCTGTTATCTGTTCGTATGACCATATTCAGACTGCTCCAGCACATGAAGTGACGAGTCCCACATGGGAACATTAAAGATGAAGTCTGAATTTGCTTCCCTTAGTTGTCATTGAGAGCACTTACCATTCAAAAGGGGCGGGCAGCTCAAGCCCTAGGCTACTACTCTTGATAGACTTGTATTCCTTAGTGCAATATAATGGGAACCTTGGCATTCAGAGATGAAGACAGCATGCTCCCAAAAAGCAGAGCTGGGAGATGAGAATGCATTTATAGAATGTATATTTTCAAGTCAAAGTCAAACTAATTCTTACTCCATGGGTATCATCTACCAGTGATTAACTAGGAATGCTAACACATTCATGGAAGGCAGGATTTACCTTGAATAGACTTTCAACTTGTCCTGGGTGCATGCACATATCTCAGACTGGAAAATTATGTTTGAAAGGTTCTGTTGGAATTCTGATTGAGAGTTCTATGGTCTAAGCAACTGCTATTCAGTTGGCATCTAAAAGAACTCCCTCCCTGCTTTCCCACAGGGCTAACTTACAAATGGGTAACCCACCTGTCTGTCTTCATTAGAGCAGACATAATCACTCCTACTCACATGACAGAAACAGTTCACTTAATGTCATGTTGGAGATTAAGCACTGTAAATACTTTGGGCATTTAGAGATCTTTGTGGGCCTTGAGCAGTAAAGGGAGACTGGAGGATAAATTAATGAGCTAGCATGAGTGCTTAGGGGTGAATATGTTTGTTTCTGGTAAGTGAAGAATGGGTCAAGTTAGCCACAGCAAGCAATGGAAATAGTTTTTGGTTGGATTTTCTTCATTTGATGATCTATCCACTAAGAGAAAACTGTACAATTGAACTGAAAATGCTCAGCTAGTATAGTTCTGGATGTGTAGTTACAGTAGCATATGTTAGCTATTGATTTGTATAAAGTTTTTTTAGACATCTTTTCCCACTAAATTAAGATATAAAAAACCATCAAGTATGAGGCCAGGAAGAATATCAAGTATATACCCACCCTGCTCACCTCTGAAATTAATACCAGTTGTGCTTCTTACAGAAAGCACGATGTTACATTTACTACTGGTCCTAGACTAGCATGTGTAAGCATATCTATTGGATATATCTAGACTTTTAAAATGGTAGCAAAGATCCTTTATGTTTCCTATAATATAAATCTTGGTATCAGTTGCCTCATTAAGTGTAGTATCCTATGTTGCTCCTCAAATGTTTGTTGATTATTGGTACTATTTTTACCAAAATGTCTATCAGTGCAAAAGAGTAAACAAGCCAAGTCTTCATGGGCGTTTACAGATATACATTGTACAACATGGTGTTCTACAACAGGAGAGTAAAACATTGCCACCACTTTTTCTGGTGGCTAATATCTGGTACTCCTCAATTAAATAGGAGGAAATGACACCTCAGAATGACAAGAGTTTAGAGGCACATCATGGAGAAGTCTTAACTGGCAAAGAATAGAGGAAAAAAAAACCTGTGGAAGATGGTTATATATCCCTAAGTTTCTGTACTCCAGTATAAAATCCATAGGTGAGAATCCAGAAAGGACCACTTTAAATAAGTGAGTTCTTAACCCAGTCATTCTATGGGAAGAAATAATTTCCAAAAAAAAACGTTGACAGTAAAGAGTAAAAGTCAAGAGCTTGGGTTTTAAAACCTGGGTCTGCCTCTGAGTCATTGGGTAACCTTGGGCAGCTCAGTTAACTTGGCCATGCCCATCTTCTTATCTGTGATACCACTTCATAGAACTATCTTCCTAAAGTGTTTAATTTAGAGTAGATCAGTCCCTAAATAGTAACTTACTATCATCCTGTTATACATATGTGTATACTTATACTTATGTATAACAGTCTGCATTTAACATTATTTTCCTAAGGACTGGTGTGCTTTCTGTGTATTTAATCAGTTTCTATAAAGACTCATTGAACAAATATTTAATGAATGATAGTATTGTACATGGATGGCACTGCTGTGTGCTAGGTAGTTAGATAAGCTGTGTGTCTGTATTATGGATATATTTCTGCCTTCGCTCTCAGAATTCATGGAAAACCATTAAATGAACGCTTACAATGAAATATTGAAAAATGCTGTTAGAGAAAATATAAGTGTGTCAACATGTAATAAGAACACTAGTCCTTGTTTTTTGTAGGTAGGGCTGATGAAAATGAGGGGGAATGAGTAGATTGAAAGCAGGTAGGTTGAGCTGGCATGGGGATGTTCTCTAAGAGTTATCTAGACAAATTGGGAATCTGGGAAAAGTTTAGGAGGGGAAGCTGTGATAGAAGAGCACACTCCCAGGTTTATGGAACTGTCTGTAGTTCATTATGATGGAAAGTCGTGTGTGGAAGAGGAGCAGCAGACAAGAGTAGAGTAAACCCAGGTCCAGTGACCTTGTGCACATTTGGACTTTACATTTGGTGCATATAAAACCCGTGAAGGGTTTAGAACAACATAAAAACAGTATGATGAAACTTGTATCTTGAATGTATCTGTTTATAAAGTTGAAAATAACTGGAGGCAGGTTAAGACTGAACACAAAGAGGCCACTCCAGCTAGGGGTTGTGAGACTTGCCAAGAGGTGGTGGTGCCTTGCACTAGGTGGCAGCAGCCAATATGAGGAGGGGTAGGGGCTTCCTACTATGTGTTATGATTGAAAAGGGGAGGAGGGAGGGAGGGAAGGAAGGATGAAGGGAGGTATGGAAGGAAGGAAGGAAATAGAAAAAGAAAAAATGGATTAGCCTTTAGGAAGTAAAACTGTATTAAGCAAAGCTCTTGGCTTGCATGATGAGGCCACTTCATGGATGGTTAAGTTCATTAGCGAATGTCAGATACTGATTATTTTAGTTATTGATATGCTGAAGTTCCCAGGGGTGGGCTGTGTTTGTGTGGTAATCCTGAGTCTACAACTCAACAGGGCTTGAACTGGGCATGAAGAATTGGATGTCACTGACTCTGTTGTCCACAGCATTTGGGTGACCTAACAGTCACAGGAATATGGAGAATGAGGAAAAAAATGAAAGCCTAGGCTGGATCACAGAGAATACCAATATTTACATCACAGATAAGGACAAAAACCTATTAAAGTTGTCGGACTTAAATTAAAAAACTTCAAAAGAACACAGTATCATGAAGCTTACTGTGACTATATTTTTTTGTTTCATATCAAGGGGGTAGTCGACAAGAGAACAGAATAAATATTTGTTATATCATAGGAATCTTTTTAGTTCTGTGTTTGGCCTCAGAACTAAAATTTACTGCTTCCTTAATCTGCCATGCCTGTGGCCTAGCTCCCCTGTGTTTCATTTCCAAGTATCTACTCCTGAGCACAGGCCTTGTCCTAGTAGGCTCTTGGTAAGTTTCTGTAAACTGAACAGATGAACAGCACCCACTCACCTCCTCAAAGCCCACCCATTGAAAAACAGCACTCACCCTGTCATTTTCCATTTAAAAACTTCAACAAGGACCCTCAGTTTCTTCCCTCACTCCCCTTTTTTCTATCTGCCTCTAGCTTTCTCTCTCCCTTCCTTCCCCCACCCCCATCCTTTCCCACTCCCGTTCTGCCCTCCATTCTCCTTTAACTGTACTAAGTACACACTTTGGCAAGTGTGGGAAGAGGCAGCAGGAAAGAGTAAAGTGGCAGGAAGAGAATACTATCTACCAGTCTTCCAAAGAATCACAGACCATGGAGATAAACGTGTGACAGCTGATGGTTACAATGCAGCTTGTAATTACCCAGATTCTGTACTGCAGCTTCGCATTGCCTGACTCCTTTTTGTGACATTCATTCGCAGTTACATTGTGTGTTGCTATTCCTAAAGTGAAGTAGTGTGTGGTGCAATATCACAGTCCTATTTACATGTGGGTTGGAGATACATAGAAGGAAATGAATCTCATCTCCAATCCTGGTACTGGTAGAAACATTTAAATGGACACAAAGGTAATCCATTTTCCATTAATTTACTGAAATGCACACCCTGCCTTGACATCGTGTTGGTGATGACTGGTTTTGTTTTCATTTACTCAAGTACCAATCTATGTGGCTTATTTGTCACTGACTTCTAGTTTTTCCTTTGTGTTGCTATGCAGACCCCACAATGCCAAAGTACGCTTGAATAAGAAAACCATCACAGGGCTCTGTCTGAAAAATGTCATAGAACCCATGTAACAGCTGGCTATGTTGGTGGTGTGCCCCAGTATTGAGGAGGTGGAGACAGGAGGATCCCTGTCTGCCCAGCCAGTTAGCCTTCTTGGTGAATTCCAGACAAGTGAGAGATTCTGTATCAATCAATAAATAATAAAGTAAAAGTAAAATGTGGGCCTTTTCTGAAGAAATGTACTTGATGTTATCCTCTGACCTCCACATACATGTGCACACATATGTGCCTGCACATACACGTGGAAACACACACACAAGTACAGCTCAGAGTGCTATCTGAGAGTCACAACCAGAGAACCCAGCAATTCCTAGGCCCTCCCTCTTTTGCCCATTTACAGTCAGCGTTCTTTCCCTTTTATTTGAAATGGGTTAAAGTTTAGATGAGCATGAGTTTCCTCTTTATTTTCCCTCATGTTTTGGAGTATCTTGTGAGTCAGAGGTATGGACAGTTGGGCAGTTCTAACTTCTGCACTCCAGGCTTATGTGAGAGCTGTGAAGGCCTTGTTGCCTGGCAGCTCCTCACTGAGTCTGAATTCTACGTGCTCACTGTGTTGTTTGTTGTACCTGATGCATGATGGATGTGGTGCCTTTGACTAGAGTATAGCATCAAAGAACCCGGAGGAAGTTCTGGCCCCAGTAGAATCCTCATGTCCCCCCCCCCCCCCCCCCCCCCCGCCTTCTTCTCTTTCTCTTCTTTCTCCCTCTTCCCCTCCTCTCTCCTCCTATTCCTCCAGCTCCTTTTCCTGTGCTGCCCT